AGTTCGATTCCTGGTACCGATAAAAATGAAAAAGACCAAAAAAAACCCTGAAATCCTGAAACACAGCAGCTCCACCTGGCCACACTGCCTGCTCCAGGCCCCAAATGCTCCCACCCCAGCCCTGGACCTAGGAGGGGGTCACTGCCTGTGCCAGGGCACACGGGGTGTGACGGCTTTGAAATCTCCCTATGTACTGGTGCGTTGTAGATGCTCCAGTAAGGATGTGGAGGTAGCAAGTGACAGTCCTGGGGCCCTCCCTGCCTCTGAGCCCTCGCCCACTCCTCGTCCTCGCTGCGCCTCAGGAGGAAAGGCACCCAGTCCTCAGGTGGTGCCCCGGTTCTCCTGGGGGGCCAGGGGCAGACATGGGCAGAACAAGAGGGCTTTGAGGCGCCTATCTCTGGAGGGAAGTGGGTGATAACAACCTCTCACGTTCCCGCTGTCCCTAGCACAGATAACCCAGGAGGAGCCAGGCCCGGTCTGCTCTCAGCACGGCCACCCACCTGCCCCCAGGTCTCCCACGACCACGCTATCACAGACTCTGGCCTGAAACCCAAGGAGCTGCGCGGAAGAGCGGCCGAGACAGGCAGGTGATAAGCCAGGCAGGGCTGAGGAGCCCCCTCCAGCATCCCTTGGACAATGGCTTCCAGGTAGCAGCTGTCCCTTCCCCAAGCTTGGTGCCCCATCTACCCTCACCCTACATCTCCTGCAGCCGATACCACCCAGTGCCTTCACTGACCAGTGAAGAAGCCGAAAACAAGGAGTTTGGGGGCTTAAAGAAAATCACACAGCATTTTCTTTCAGTACCAGGCTTAAACCCAGCACCTTCATACTGAGTTACCTCCCCAGCCCTTCTAAGTCACTGAGTTTCCCAGGTAGGCTTGATGCGATCCTCCTGCCTCGGCCTCCCAGAGCACTGGCATTATGGGTACGTGCCACCCTACCTGGATGCTTGTGACATTTTGATAGCAGCACGAGGACTTGAACTCAGACCCCCAGTGATTCTCTTCAGCACGCCAGAAAACACTGATCAAACACGGAGAGGGGGGCCTGCACGTGAAAGAGCTCCAGGTCTAAGCTCCAGTGCAGGGGTGGGGTGGGGTCTCCTTACACTTCATGCCCCTGACACCCTCCACTCCAGGGCCCTGTCAAGTTAGAGGACCTGTGTCCCCAGCTTCACCAAGCCAGGGAACCTCAATTTCCTCACTGTGGGTGTTGCTGATAACAGTTTGGTCTCATGGGCGGTTGGAGGATTAAATGAGAGGCTGTCGCCTGGATGGACTTTTCTCCCCGACAGATGCATGCAGGATGCCCCGCCGGACTGACTGACGTCCAGGGAAGCAGCAGCGGCGACACAAACCACAATGACAGCCTCGCCCGCCTGCCGCGCCCCTGCCCGGCTGTTACTCTTCCCTCAGTGGTTACAGGAGAACAGGCCAGTGGATGAGCAACTCTGCTGTGTTATTCGAAGCCCAGAGCCAGCAGGGGAGCCAGTGTAGACATGGAAATGAGCAGTGTTAACAGTGATGCGGAGCTCAGTCCTGGCTGACAGGCAGAGCGTCTGCAAGGCCCGGGGTTCAGACCCCAGCACCCCCGAAAGGACAGCAATAAGCAGCAGGAGAGATGGGGAGACACCCCAGTCCTGATCTGCGGCTGCTTTGGGAAAACACTGAGCAGCTCATCAAAATGTTAAATGTTTATTTATTTTGACTGGGTAAATTCTGTCCTCAAATCCTTAGTATCCCTGTGTTTGTTTTAGTACAAAAATAACATTACTTTTTTCCCCAAAAAACAATATTTAAAATATTATCCCTAAGAGCCAGGCATGGAGACACACAGCTCTAGCCTATTTAGGAAGCTGAGGCAGGAGAATCGCTCAAACCTAGGCTTTGGAGACAAGCCTGGGCAATTATCAAGACTTCGTCTTAGGAAAATACAGAATGGGAAATGCAGGGTTGCCACATAATAGAGTGCTTCCCTTGCTAGACATGTTCAAGAGGGAAACGAAAGCTTGTGCACACACAGACTTGTCCACAAACACTCACAGTAATGTTAGTCTTCACAGACACAAGCTGGGAAAATCCCACATGTCTGTCAGCTGATAACAGGGGCACACAAGAAAACACAGCAGAGCCACACTGTGGTATCCATGGAATATTATTCAGCCATAAAAAGGAATGAGAACACTGTTTTAAAGACAGAAGCCATCGGGGCTGGGGATTCAGCTCAGTGGTGTAAGTGCCTGCTTTGCAAGTGTGCAGTCGTGAGTTTGATCCCTGGTACCGATAAAAAAGAAAAAGACAAAAAAAAAAGAAGCCATCATGAAGTGCACAATTCCATTTATCTGCAATCTTCAAAACAGGCAAATCCAGAGATAGAATATAATTCAAGTTTTCCAGAGCTGTGGGAGAAGCTGTGTGGAGACTGACTGCTGGAGAGTATGTGGTTTCCCTAGGGGGCGTGATAAAAATGTTCTAAAATGGCCAGACGTGGCGGCACATGCCTGTCATCCCAGTGCTCAGGAGGCTGAGGCAGTAGGATTCCCAGGAGTTCGAGGCCAACCTGGGCTTCATATTGGGTCCAAGGCCAGCCTGGACTGCAGAACCAACCTTATCTCAAAAAAAAAAAAAATTCTAAAATTAGCTTGTGATGACAGTTGTACAACTCGGTAAGCACTACAACCATTGACTCATATATTGATTTTATCATATGTAGATTTTAAATGGATGTGCTTTTATGGTATGTAAATTATCTCTCAAGAGAGCCCTTAAAAAATAGCATCCCAGCCGGGGATTCAGCTCAGCTGTGTAAGCACCTGCCTGGCAAGCATGAGGTCGTGAGTTCGATCTCCAGGACCAAAAACAAAAATACCCAGCATCCCAAGCCAGGGGTCCAGCACTGGCCCGGCCAGTACAGACAGCAGGACCATGAAAAGCAGAGCCCCTCCTCAGGCTCCCTAACAGCCAGGCCTCCTGTACCAGAGGCCAGGCCTCTGCCCTCCCATAGAATGGGCTTCATCAGTGGTTTTCAAACTGTGCTCCCAGGCACCTTGGGACCAAGAAAACATGTCAACCACCTTGGAGAAAGGATGTCTCCAAGGTCCCCGGGCTCCACCCATGTCCCTGTCTCCCTCTCACGCCTGGCCCACCCCTCGGAGGCAGGATGTGGCTGCCAAACATAGGTAGGGAAGAGGAAGGCGTGGGGGTGGGGTGCACTGGAATCCACATCCTGGGGACCAGGAGATGGGGATTCCAGGTGCTGGTGATCCAGCTTCCGGCTCCAGCCTAGGGAAGAAGCTGGGCCGCCTGGCTGGGAGCCCACAGCCCTTCCTGGACCCAGCGCTGGCACTTCCGCTTCCCTTGTGGGCAGGGGAAACGCCCTGGGGCCTCTTGCTGAGGCCTGGGACTGGAGCTGGATTCGCTGATGTTCTGGTCACCCAGACTCTCCAAGAGGGGGAAACTGGGCCTGAGCTGGGTGTGGGGACACAGTTACTAGATCTGCATAATAACCCCCTGCAGAGCCCTGCCTTGACAACCCTAGGCTGGGGATTTATAGGGTCAGCTGGGAAAGTGAGCAATCAGGAGCCAAGGGTCCTGAGGCCAGATGACCCCACCTTTGTCCGTCCAGAGGGGCGGCTGCACCTTGACCTCAGCTAGCTGGCGCTAGACCTCCGCTTTTAAATTTTATGAGAAACCAGAAATCCAGCCGGGTGGGGCAGTGCAGGCCTGTAATCCCAGCACTCAGGAGGATCAAAGGGAAGTCAAGGCCAGCCTGGAATACACGGAAAGACTCTGTGTTCAAAAAAAGTCAAAATTCTAGAGTTTTTTAAAACGAGAACATAAACCAACAAAAACAATGATAGAGAATTTCAAAACAAGATAACAGGAAGTCAATCATGGTTACTATACTGCGTGTTATTATCTTCAAAGTAGTTGCTCAGATTACAAAATACAGGCGTGCATAATTGATCAAACAATACAAGCACAAAACGTTTTCTTTTCAATGAACTAAAGGAAATCAGCAGTGTAACTATCTTAGCCTGGCTTTTAATGGGAAATCTCCGGACTTTGGAAAAGTGATTTTAAAAGTTTGCCTAAGTAACAAGGACGCATCGGTCCACCTCGATACCAGTAGGCGGGAAGCGCTTTCTCCGGATCCGGATCCGGATCAGAATCCGGATCTCGGCCTGGAAGAGGCTGCCCGCCTGCAGGCGGGTGTCCCAGGCAGAGACAGGACAGCAGATCCTCCTGACTCCCTGCAGACTTCTGGGGAACAAGTGGGGGCGGGGCAGCTTCCCCTGCGCACGCTGTGACGTAGTTTGGTTGCTGGACGCTGCGGTTGTTCCCTTTGCATGTTTTCATTGTTCCCTCTTCCCCTTGCAGGTGTTCCGGGGATCTGGGGGACCTGGGGGATCTGGGGGATCTGGGGGCCCCTTCCCTGGGAACCAGAGGATGAGGAGCTCTTCGTGGAGGGGGCTACCGCGTGCCAGCCACCTCCTCCCTGGGCTCCAGCACCTTCAGTCTCGCCGTGACTTGCATTTGAGGTCGCTGCAGACAGTATTTCGCACAAGGGGAAACTGAGTCACACGCTAGAAGTTAGGGAAGCTGGCTGCTAGCCAGAGCAGAGGCCAAGGGCAGGTCCTCCCCAGGCCCTTCCCCTTTCCCCGCTGAAGATTAAAAGCCAAGGGTCTGTGACAGCCCAGCTCTGGCCCACGACTCAGCCTCAGGGTCCTTCCTGTTCCAGCCACCGCACTCCTGCACTCCTGCCCGCCTTCCCCAAATGGCTTGCCGCTGGTCCAGCTGGAGGCTGCAGCAGCCCCAACAAATCATGTGCCTGGTTCTCCCAGTGCTTCCTGAGAAAGGTCAGACGGGCAGGAGCCATACCCAGGGGATTCCTGCTGTCCTCTCGGGCTATATCCATGACCTCCTTCCAATGAAGAGCCTAGAGAGGTTAGGCCATTTGCCTGAAGTCACACAGCAAAAGGGCAGGAAGATAAACTGCTGTGATTCAGTCGTTCAGAGCTGTGCTGGTTACAGGAGAAATGTGCAGACACCGCTCACCTGTCGAGCTATGAGGAGGAAGCCCCCGACCCCTTTGTTCAATTCCTCCCCAGCCATGCTTCCCGGGGTCCCCAATGTAGCTGTGGAAGTGGGGGCAAAGGAGCCAGGGGCGGAGACAGAGATGTCACAGGGGTCAGGGCACCAGTTGGCATCGGGAAGAAGGCAGATAGAAGGGACCAGTCCTGCTGCTGCTGCGGCTGCCGTGTCGCAGGCCCTGAGATCCTTCTCCCATTCCTGACTTCCGGGACCAGGAAGGATTCTGTCGTGTCATTTGAAGCAGCAAGTTTGTGTCACTCGCTACAGCAGCAATAGGAAACTAATGCGTGACAGTGTGACCCCATCAGGAATGAGTTTTTCTGAATTTCCTTTTTTTTTAATGTCCTGGGAGTGAAAAGCAGGGCCAGCGCTCTGACGCTGAGCTACACCTCTGGCCCTGAATTTATATTTGCTAAAAAAAAGCTGTGTGCATCACTCATGAATTTTTATTCGCAGTACAAGGGATTGAACCCAGGGACTTTGCACTGAGTTATGCCCCCAGCCCTATTTTATTTTATGACAAGATCTCAGTAAGTCATTGAGTTGACCAGGCTGGGCTCAAACTTGTGACCCTCCTGTCCCAGCCTTCTGAATGCTAAAGATTACAGGTGCCGTCCAGCCCAGCAAAAAGTACTTCTTCATTGGACATGGTGCCATCTGGTGCCTGCAGGTGGAGCCTTTCATGCCGCCCTCCATGTAGAGGACAGACCGGTGTCTTTTCCTCTTTCACTGTCACCACAGAGCCACGAGGCTGCTCGGAAACACGTGAGGAGCATTTCTCAAGATCTGCCTGGGCTGCTCTGCACTGTGTGACCTCGGGCTGGTCACACCCCCTCTCTAAGCCTCAGGGTCCTCATCTGTTAAGTGAAGCATCTGCTGGGAGGCTGAGGCAGGTGGATTGCAAATTCAAGCCCGGCCTGGACAATTTAGCAACATAGAGAGACTCAGTCTCAAAAAAATTTCTTTTATTTCTCTAAACAACTGGACTAGCAGCACAGTGCAAAAGCCCTAGAGGCCCTGATGATGCCTACCTCACCGCAGTTTCCCGTGTCCACCTGGGGCCTCTACTAGTGTCCAAAGGGCCTCCTGCATGGTGACAGGGACCCCAGATGGAGCACCAGGGGAACAGAGACAAGAAAACATACAGAGCCTTCAGAAGTTCAGATCTGGGCCTGGAAGGGACTCCCCCAGAAGGAGCCAGGAGCTGAAGTCAGGGGGCTTCCTGAGGAAGGGGTCAGGGAAGCCCTGGGGGCGACCCATGCAGAGTGGAAGGCTGGGAACAGCCCTCCAGAGGCCCAGGGTCCGGCCAGACCCAGCAGGAAGTAGCTAGGGCCTCGGCCAGGGGTTTTCTGGGCAGAAGAGGACATGGGGTTCCTCAAGGTGGAGAATGAGGTTAGAGCCTGGCCAACCTGGCAGGTGGTTCCTCCCATCGATGCCAAGCCTGCCCAGGAAGGCAGCCCTGCACTAGGCTTCCCTATCACCAAGCCTTGGTCAGGCCTGGCTGTCTGTGCCCCCTGTGCTGACTCACATCCGCCCAGCTGGCCCTGGCTGAGGGAGGGGCAGCCCCTACTCCCTGCTTGACCTTATCAGGCTTGGCTGTGTCCACTGTGGGACCGTGGGCAGGGCCTTGGCCTCCCTGTGCCCTGGCTGGGCCTGGCCTGCATAAGCTCATGGGAGCCCAAGGCCCAGCCAGGGTGTCCTGTGGGGCTGGAACAGGGCTGGACACCAGCTATATTTAGTTCCCAAATGCAGAGTAGCAGGGCCAGATGAAGCAGCTGCTACTGTGCTGTACTTTGCTGGCCACCAGGGCACACGCCCAGCAGGAGGGCACAGCATAAGGACACGCTGTTCACACAGCACTCACACAGTTGCATGGCCTCGTATGGGATTGTGTATGTGACATGCACAGTAATATGTACACAGATGTGTGCTCCGCACCAGGGTGCTCATGCGTACACTCACAGGTGTGCACATGTGACAAACATGGGCACATGACATTCTAAGGCCTACGTGATCACCTTGGCAGCCTCCTTTTGAACCCCCAGACCACCCTGCTGGGGCGTCACTGCAGGTTTGAGTGGGTAGTGGTGGGGTCTGAACCCAAGGCCTTGTGCATGCAAGGTAAAAGCTCTGCCACTGAGCCACAACCCCAGCTGGAGTTTGAGACTAGCTAAACTACATAGTGAGTTCAAAGCCAGCTCAGCCAATTTAGCGAGACTCTGTCTCAAAAAACCAAAGAAAAATTAGTGGCTTCAAACAAATGCGATCGATCACTCATATCACCGAAGAAATGCTCCACGCAGCATCAGTGGGGCCGCCTGCTGCAGTGGAGAGTCATTCTTGCCGGTCCTTTTCGTGGGGCTATTGAGCTTCCTTATAACATGGAGGCCAGCTTCCCAGCAGAAGCCTTCTGGAGGTGCGCATGGAGCCTTGAGTTCTTCCAGCCTGGGTCCAGATGTTTCCTTGGCATCATGCCATCATACTCACCAGACATCTGCAGAGCCCAAATTCCAGGGAAGGTACGGAGCCCCTCATCTGTCAGCAGAAGAGGAGGAGGCCATGGTCTGAATCCTCCAGAGCCTCCTACCTAGTCCCAGGCCTCAGCTCTCCAGCCAGGCCTGAAGGTCATTACGGGGCAGGGGCATCATTCCCCTCCCCGCACCACCCCCATACTTTCCATTCACATTTCTGTGAGTGTGTTCACCTAGCACTTCACCTGGCACCTTAACCTAAAGGGGACAACAGCCCTGGGACAGAATCTAGATGACAAGTCCTGGGAGGGGGGCCTCCCTGAGCACCTGCCAGAGCTCCAGAGGAAGCCCCCAGTTCCAGGGCCCCTATCTGTCTCCTCTTTTTCCTTATCCACTCCCAGGGGACATAAAAGCCCAGGCAGAGTTTCCTAAGCTGAGTGTGGTGGCTGATGCCTGTCCAAAATCTCAGTACTCAGGAGGCTGAGGCAGGAGGATTGCCTCCAGTTTGGCTGGGCCCCTAGCACAGATGTCTTTCTAAGCTCTGTTCTTCCTGTTGCCTACAAATCAGTGATATAAGGTTGGAAAAGTCTGACACTCTGAAAGCAGAAGCCTATTTCTAGTCTTCTTAATCACATCTTTCTAACATGTTTGATTCACCCGGACCACACTCAGCAAGGTACAGAGGCCCTGGCTCTTCTCACCCGGAGATTCTCCTTCTGAGCCACCTCAGAGCCTCTGACACCATCGAACCTTTGCAAAGAAGCCGTGTGAAGGTGTCCGCTGTGCCTCACAGAGGGCCCGTTAAGTGAGGAACAGCAGAGCCACATGATGGACTCAGGGCCCCCTGACAGAGAGGTCAGGGTCAGCTTTGGGGTTATGAACATGGAGCACCTCCCAGGTATTAGGTGAGACAAGGGACTGACTGACAGAGCCACTGACAAAACAGGGTACGTGCCTGGTAAATACCACTTTTTTTTTTTGGTACTAAAAATCGAATTTAGGACCTTGTTCTTGCAGGCAGGCACTTGTGTCACTCAGTTATATCCTCAGCCCCTCTACGCACCTGGTAAATCTTTTATTTTTCCTTTTTGAGACAGTGTCTCACAGTCGCTCTATTGCCCAGGCTGGAATCAAGCCTGAGATCTTCCTGCCTCGGTCTCCCAGAGTTGCTGGAGTCACAGCTTTTGGTAGCTGTGACTCACTCCCTGGCTGCAGGCCGCATGGCTCCAGCCTCAGCCTGGTGCCTGGGTTTCTCCTCTGCCCCTCTCGCCCTGGTGACCAGGCCGGGAGTCACTGTGGTGGGCTCCCTGGGGCTCCAGATGACCAGTGGCAGTCACAGCCCAGCCCTGCTTGAGGGCCAGGGAGGAGGGGCGCAGGTGACTCAGAGCCCGGTCAGGCTCCTAGAGAGGGTTCTGGGCATTCGTGGTCCCCCGTTTCACAGATGGGGAAATGGGGAAACCGAGTCTAGAGGAAAGAGGGGTTTGGCCAAGGTTACTCCTCCCATTAAGGAGCCACGTGTCCTGGGCCAGACAGAGTCATTCTCCCCATACCCAGCAGAAAAGCAGAAAGGCAAATCAACCTTCCTGGCAGATGAGGGAAACTGAGGCTCCAACTAGGGGAGAGGCAGAGGGGCTCTGACCTACACGCTGAGGATACAGGGAAGCACCCGGCTCACATGTGGCCCCACAGGGTTCTGCCCCCTCCCTCTGATGGCTCTGCCAGCCCTTCACCCCCTCCCAGTCCCCTGTGGGCTGTGCTGAGACCAGTGATTTGCTGACAGTGCTGACCGTGACCCTGCCAGTGTCTGTGTGCCTGGAGGCCGCTTCATGTATCTCCTGCCTGCTGGGTCACAATCTCCAAGTGCACGTGGTTCCTGGGTAATTAATTCTTCACCCGGCTGTTTAAAGATTAACTGTGGCAGCTGTGTTCTCACAGGCAAACCCCACCAGAGGAGGCAGGGGTCCCGCCACCCAGCAGGGGTGTGAAAGGGTTCACCTGCTGCCCCTGTCCTCCCTGCCCTGCCCCAGCTCTTCCTGGTCCCCAGGAAGCAGGGCTGGGCTCACAGTGCCGGCCAGGAGGCGGAAAATGGGCAGGCAAGTTCCTCTTGCTGGGTGTGTACACAAGCCTGTGATTCCAGCACTCAGGAGGCTGAGGCAGGAGGATCAAAGCAAGTTCAAGGCCAGTCTGGAATATATACCAAGACCCCGCATCTCAAAAGACAAAAAAGTCCTCAGACAACAAGAATCCAGGACTTGGCTCAGACCTTGATCCACCAGGACTTTGTGATCTTCAGTGAATCCCTGCTCCTCTCTGTACCTCAGTTTCTCCATCTGCAAAACGAGAGCACAGACAAGGAGTGAGGATCAGCGGGGTAAGGTCTGGCAAGTGGATGCCCTGTGCCAGGTGCTTAGTAGGTGCTCAGTAATATGGTCATTTTAGGGACCCAACACTGATCCCCCATAGCTGAACCACTGTCCTTTTTGGTGGTTTTGGTTTGAGAGCAGGGTCTTGCTGTGTAACTCAGGCTGGCCTTAACTCATTCCATGGCCCAGGTTGGTCTGGAACTCGTGGCTATCCTCCTGCCTCAGCCTCCCAAATGCTGGATCACTGGTAGGTGCCCCCATGCCTGGCTTGAGACACTGTCTTCTGAGAGTAACAGTCAAGTTCAAATTCAATTCAAGAGAAAGTGTGTGTGTGTGGGAGGGTGAGTCAGCTTGCTTGCTGGGTTTATTCTCACCTGTACAAGGAGAAGGGACAGAGAGGACAGCCACATCCACAGGCCACGTGTAGAGAGAGTGACACAGCCCAGAGAGGTAGGGGCACCTCCATCCAAGAGCACCCCAAGGTAGCTCCGCCTCCTTCCCATCTCCCCTGCAGAGTGGGCAGCAGAGGCCAGGCCTGGCCTGCCCCGGACAACCACCAACCACCGAGCGGAGCTGCCACGTCCCCTCCTCCCCTGGTGTCCTCAGGGTCAGTCGGTGAGCTGCAGTGACTCAGGCATGGGAAAGACCCATGAGGTCATCCACGGCCTGGACCACCTCGGAGCTCCTGAGCTGTCTGGGCCAGGACCCTGTACTGCTGATCTGGGGATTCCCGGCTTCCTGGGCTGCAGGGTGGAGACCTCAACCCTGGGCCTGAAATGCAGGCCTTGTGTCCTGGAAGGAGGAAGGCAGGCGGGGCTGGCGCCGGTTGGGGCTGGACAGAGTGAGTGAGGTCAGGACAGGGCTGCTGCCCAGCCTGAGCATCTCAGCTTTCAGGCTGGGATGATCAGATTGCTCACTGCCCGTGCTGGTGGGTGACAGAGACCAGGTTCATACCCTGAAACTCCAAGTTCAGAGCCTGCAGCCGTGGGAATCATCTCCCAGGCCTTGGGTTCCTGTCTATAGAGCTGTGGCTGTAAGGACAGAGCTGTGCACCGGTGCCTGGCAGGAAACCAAGTCCGGGGAGAAGGGGAAGCCCTTGGGAGTGGCCGGGGTCTGCAGAGCTTCGGCAGGGTCCTGGGAGTCCCGGGTGGGTGGGGGCAGGGGAAAAACTGCACCCTCCCCTCTGCCTCTCAGGGACCACTGAGGCCAAGGGCTGAGCCTGCTGCCCAGGGGCCCCGCTGCGTGGGCTAACGGACCTAGAAACAGCAGGCAAAAGATGATCGTAGTTACGACAGAAGCCCAGGCAGCCAGGTCCGGCCCGGGCCAGGGGTAGAGTGATGACCATACAAGTCCTGCTCCATGAAGGAGCGAGATGAGTTGGCCCAGGAGAAGCCCCTCAGTGTGATCAGAGACCATTTACACCTGTGGGGAAACTGAGGCCCAGCAGGCGTTCCCCCAGAAGCCGGAGGCATGGAGAGCTGGGGCCCACCGCTGTCCTTCCAGGATCCAGAGAGGCCGCTCAGGCTGGCAAGCAGGTGGACCCGGGGGAGTCCTGGCCCACCAGACCCTCCCCAGCCACCTGCTGTCCCAGGCTCTGACCCAAACCCCAGTGCCTCTAGGCAGGCAGGCTGCCAGGCAGGAGCCAGCACCAGGGAGCCAGCCGCGAGGGGAGCAGTGCCCTCGCATTCCCAGACAGGCTGGGCACATTCCTGCTGGGGTGCCACCCTGCCCATCCCACCCGGACCCCACACACAGTGCCCATTGTCTGCCCCAGACACTTTGAGCTGCCGCTGCCTCCAGCCCATAACACCTGCCACGCCTCCCCTTCCCAGGTGGGGCCCCAAACACCCCTCTGGGTCCCCAGCCCCAAAGGGCAGTGTGCCAGGCACATGGGAATCAAGCAGGGGTCACAGCAGGGAAGTGCTCCAGGTCACACTGCCATCTGATACCAGGGCCCTGGAGCCCCGATTAATTAATCAGTTAATGGATTAATCGCTCTTCCCTAGGGACACAGCCATCTCCCAGCCCTATGCCCGCTCACCTGGCTCCCCCTCAACCTGGTCCCCTGCATTGCCCCATTTTCTCGACCAGCAGGCTGACATGGAGAGAGGGAAGCCGCTTGCCAAGGCCACCCAGCAGGCGGCAGCTGAGCTGACAGCCAGCCCGGGTCATCCGGAGTCCGGCCCACGCGCTTTCCAGCCCCTGCGGGGAACAGCTCAGCAGTGTGGGCAGGGAGGGAGCAACCGGGAGCAGCCCGTGGAGATGCAGAGCCGAGGCGGGCAGGCACGTTCCCGTCCACAAGTGCGTGGATCCCGGGCCGGGCTGGGGTGTGGACAGGTGTTCACTCCGAGCTGGGGTCCAGGCCAGGTCAGGCTCACCCTGCCCTCGGGGTTTAGGAGACCGGGTGCCCACGGCTAATAAAGATGACTCCACCTACAGCGTCCGAAAGCCGCTTCCCTTCCCCTCCCCCGCTGCCCTGTCCCGCAGCCCCCTCCTCTCCTCGGGCACCCCAGGCCCTCCCTGCGGCAGGCCTGCTAAGGGCCCTTGAGTGGCCCTCGCTACCCACACTGTCGTCGCCCCCCGCACCGTCCCTGGGAGCCGGCTCCTCCCTGGCCTCCTTCACGGCCCTGTCCAGGCAGAGCCACCTTGGCCCCAGCACCCCGCACCCCAGCTGTCACCCTCTCCTCCTCCTCGCTATCTGATTTGTATTTTCTCTTCTCTCTTTTTCTGGGTGATCCTGGGAACTGAACCCAGGCCTTTCACACTAAGCTGCATCATTGGCCCTTTTTATTCTTTTATTTTTATTTTATTTTATTTTATTTTTTTGAGACAGGGTCTCCGTATATAGTCCAGGCTGGCCTTGAATTTACAGCAATCCTCCTGCCTCAACCTCCAGAGTGCTGGGATTATGGGCATGGGCCACCGTGCATGACATCCTTTTTTATTTTTTATTCTGTGACAAGGTTTCTCTAAGTCACTAAACTGTCCTGGCTGAGTTCAGGTACACAATACTCCTGCCTCAGCCTCCCAGAGTACAGGGAGGCTGCACTCCCAGGAGCCCAGCTGCCCTGACCCTTGTGTGAAGGGGCGGAGTGTGGTCCTCTGCCTTCTGCACCTGGGACGTCACTGGGCTGTGGCCAGTGCCAGGTGACAGAGGACTTTTGACTTAAGAAAAGGGTGGAAGTTGGTGGCCCAAGTTGTGCCTCAGGGCTGAGCTGCATGGGAGATGGGAGGAGGCATTTGGGCCCAGGATAGGGCTGGAGGTGACCAGTCGCAGCACTGCAGCAGTGGCGTTTAAGACCATGACAGTTGGGTCACAGGAATTATCCATATGGCTGGTGCAATTTTCTCTTGCCCACAGGCTCCTGCCTCCTCTCCAATACAAGGACCCTAAAGGTCACAGCACAGGAATGGACCCCTATTTCAGAAGAGTTGAGGCCAGGCACAGGAAAGTGACATGCCCAAGGTCACACAGCTGGCGAGGGCTCCTCACTCTGCCCTGGGACCTCGGGTAAGGTGCAGGTGAGCAGGGTGGGGGGCTCCCCAGAGGGAGCAAGTCCTGGCACTGAGCAGGAGCCCGAGGTAGGGTAAACCCCGCCTGAAGTCACGTCTCCCCAGGAGTGACATCACGGGCCAGCCAGACTGCTCTGGGGCTGCACAGCTGGAGGACAGGGCGAGCTGAGGCAGGACCCGGTGAGTGTCTGGAAGCAGGAAAGGGCGAGGGGAGGAACAGGGCTAGAAATGCATCAGTTTCCCCAGCCCAAATGCAGTCTACAACCAAAGACCTGGGTGTCTTAGAAACCAGACTAAGAGGCCAGAGGTTGGGACGGTGCCTGACTTGACAGATGGGGAAACTGAGGCCAGGAGGGGGCGGTGGCTCTGTGGAGGTGACTCAGCAAATGACAGATTTGGGAGCAAAACCAGCCCATCCTCCAGAACCAGACTCTGCCCTCTGGCCAGGTTCCTGGGACGTCTTGGGGTCTCTTGTACCCCACTCAGCTGGGTGGCAGCTAGTGAGCACAAAGGCTAGCGGACAGCAGGGACTGCGCCCCAGGGGGACCCAGGACTTGGAGTGAGAGGACCAGGAACGCCACTCAGAGCCCTCCTCCCCACCCGGCCGCAGCCTTATCTCCTTCAGCTGCTACTGAATTTCCAGGAATTTTACAAGCCGGCTGCTATACCCAGTCATTATTAAAGTATTTAAATTCGCAGAAACCCGTCCTACTCATCGCCTCCTCACTCCTTCACCAGGCTGCGCTGGAATCTGCACTCCACTCCTGGGTTACCCGGGAGACCGATGGGCTCCTGTGCTCCCCGCCAGGGACTTCACCTGGGAACAGCAGGGACATTACAGCCTGGACCTCAGCAAACACTGCTGCGGACCTGGACCCTCCTGGGAGTCCAGCTCTGACCCGAGGAGAGGGAGCTGCTACTCCCGGGCCCACTGCGCCCCTTCCTGGACCTCCCTGCCTCCCCACAGCCCTGCAGAATCTTTGGCCTCTCCCTTCTCAAAGCCTCTTGTCATCCATGCCTGTCCCTATCTCTCGTCTCCTCTGAGAGACGCTCCCGATCCCATTGCTGCAGAAGGGGCCCCAGATGTCTGTCTTTGACCAAGAATGTGACTCTCCCTGTCCCACCCTAGCTGTATTCCAGCAGCTAATGTAATACCTGGCACATAATAGGTGCTCAATAAATGCATGTCGAACCAGACATAGCAGCCATTATGGTTTGTGTCTGGATGTCCCCCCAAAGCCTCATGTCTTTGTGGGGCAGGCTAATCAGAGGCGGCTGAATCTGGAGTCTGTGACTGACTCAGGGTCCAATGCTGGACGGAGCGTGTGAGTGCTGCGCCTGCCCTAAGGTACGTAACAGAGGGGACGGGAAGAGGCTTATCCCTCCTCCCCCTTGTTGCTTTTGCTGTCTTCCACAGCCACGAACAACGGTTGCCCCTCTGGCATGTGCCACCCTGCCCTGCAGCCAGCCAATGGCAGACTGAAACCTCTACAGACTGTGAGCTAAATACATCTCTCTTCTCTTAACTCTGGGCATTGGATATTTTGTCTCAGCAATGAGAGAAAAGTAACTAAGATAGCACACATCTGTAATGTCAGAACTTTGGAAGCTAAGGCAGGAGGATTATTGTAAATTTAAGGCCAGCTTGGGCTAGAGAGAGACCCTGCCTCCAAAAAAAGCATGGAGTCTGTGAATGAACCCATAGAAGGGCACAGAAGAAGTCAAGCCAGTCACCTGAGCACAGGGAAAGGCTCTCCCCTCGCCCTCCACTCTGCCAGCCAGGTGTCCCCAGGCCATGGCTCCCTCCCCTCCACTCCCCACTTCCAGCCTGTGCTCTGGCTCATCCCACAGCACCCTTCCCACCCCCAGGGGCTTGCAGGGAGCAGGCAGGAGGAATTCCTGGCCCCAGCCAGAGGAGGTGCCCCAGCAGGCAGGAGGGAGCAGCAGCATGCGCCAGGGACCGCTCCGAATTCCAGCTCCCACGGCCCGCTGGGCAGCCGCCAAGTGGGGCTGGGAGAGGTGGGCACCCCATCACGGAAGCCAGGAAGGAACAGGGGAGCCTGGGCAGGTGGCAGAGGATGGCAGATGCCCAGATGGGGAGATTGAGGCCTTCAGGGGCCAAATCAGCCCCTGACTCATCCCAGATGGCCAGGGATGCTTTGGGAGCAAGACCAGGGATGAAGCGGGTGTCAGTCTGCAACCGGAGACCAACAGCCAGGAGGCAGAGTGTGCCCTGGGCTGTCCCTGGCCCCTGAGTCTGAACCCTGCCCCCGCCCCGGGCTGGTCCGCTCAGCCCTGTGTGCTCACAGGCAATGGAAGGGGTCATCAGGAG